TTTCGAATCTTAGGGAACCCTTTTTTTCTGGAGGACAAAATATCAAATTCTTGGACTAAATCCATGGCCTCATTGACCTCCTGATCAATATTTCTAATCATTTGGTCAATGACTCAATCGCTCTTAACAATTAGTCAAAAATACATTTCCGTGCTTCTGCTAGCCACATCCTTACTAGGGGAGACGCTTTTTATATAAGGGTGATTTAGCATGGTCTAAAACACAGGTCTACTATGTTGGTTTTTTCTTTTTATTTGTTTGACTCGGCGGTTTTAAAGAAGAAAATAAAAGTAGTTTGTCCATGCTTTGGGTGAGAAATTTACACCGTTTTGTTAAAAACGGGAGCAACGTTTGCTTTGGTTGCTTTTTTTTAAAATAAGAAGTGAAGGCATCAAAGGTGGCGAATGACGTACAACGGATGCAGTGTAATGCCATATGGTAAAACAACGCTTTTTTTTGGCCAAAGGTGGCGAAATGACGTACAATGGATGTAGTGCAATGCCATATGGTAACAACGCCAAAGCTGTTGCACTTCAGTTTCGTATTTTGCATAAGGTTAGATTTTTAAAGAAAAGACTTTTCACGGTTTTCCTCACTTCCTCACTAACTTTATTACTTTATTGGCTACTTAAAAAGGACCTTATATATCTTAGACATTTTTAAAAAAATGTTAATGTTCTTTTGTTTTGGTGTATGTTTTATGGGTGCAGTTTGGGTTATAGAGTAGCCTTAATTCATATGCTCTTCTATTAAAGAAAAACAAAACGAAATGACAAAAGGAAAAAAATCTAGAACCGCTTCAGAGGTAATTACTTAAAAGAGATCTAATAACATTGTTCTACACTTGATGCATTTTGTGATTCATTCAGTGCACTTTCAGAAGCTGTCTACTCTGGCAAAATTAATTTTCTCTTCTTTAATAACAGCTAACGATAGTGTAATTTTGGTTATTTCAAGCTGATTGTTGAGCACATATCAGCAGTCATTTTGGTCAGTTGTCTGAACAGATTATGTGCAATTTTAAAACAAGTACAATATCCAATTAAATTTCTGTCACATTGCATGAAATTAACATAGATATATGCCAACATTCTCTACACAGTGCATGTTGTAAATGCAAACAACTTCGCCTTACACCTGTCACTAAGAAAGAAATAATGTCTGTAGAGCGCCTTCTAAAATAGTTCTAGAACCGAAGTAATCCGAATGATTCAATATGTTTTACAACTGTAGTCAAACGTATGATTGCGGGACATAAACATGATTAAGTTCTCGATAGATACAGTTAATATAATAATATAAAACATTATGTTCTATGCTATATATTCTATATATTTTGCTCTCTTTGAGTGGAACGTTTTTAACAGGTTTTAAGCTGAACAAGTAAATATTTGAACTTCTTTGACAGGTTTCAAGCTGAACAAGTAAATATTTTTATGTCTGGCTTAACAGATTCATAAATGTTCTGCTATTCCTAACATATGCTTTTTCAGAAAGCGCAAATAAGACTTTTTTTTAAAGAAAACGTGAGGACGGTGTACATCTTTAAGTACACACAGTCGGTTTGCATACATCTTCGATCACAACCGTAGAAAACCGTATTAATCCAAAGTTGGCCGAGATTTGCTTATCCAGTTACTAGGGGTGAGATTAGTTGATAAGGATAACATTTTGACCTGCAAATAGGTTTGACTTGGTGCTTTACGGCACAGAAATGCACGTCAGTTTTTTTACTGCCGAGGCAATTGAAGTAAAGTAGATAACCCAGGCTGATCTGATGGTAGGATTCGAACTCGCACCCATTCGATTGCGAGTCCGGCACGCTAACCATTGAGCCACCACGTCTCCTACATGCATCAATGGGATGTAGATAACATCAAAGTACAAAATGGAAACATAAAACCTTCACGGACAATGTATTCCACAGGCTAAAATGAATAATAATTTCAACCTATTTGTAAAAGTTTGTATAATCTTTATATACATTCACAAAAAACTCACATTTCAAACGTTACGTCTGAAAGATGTTTTATTTAATTTAATTAATGTGGAAGCAAAAGCTGCCGTACCATTTATTTAATGTAAATATATCAACATTATGAACTCACACACACACACACACACACACACACACACACACACACACACACACACACGACTCCAAACAGAATCCACTACCTCATCTCTCCCATATGATTGGGGAACAGTTAAACCAATGTTAAAGGACTCCAGATGTTGAAAACATAAATAACAACAATGTTTGTAGAAATAAAGGAATCTTATTTTGAGACGGGTGAAAGGCTGCATGACTAATCGTAAATGGAGGGGTAAATGACCTTGTCAGGTTGAAATTACGGGGTAAATGACCTTGTCAAGTCCCAAGGAATCTCAAAGGCCAAAGACGTTCCATACTGGTCGGTGAATAGCACATTAGGCATCAGACGGAGACCATTCCTCGCTACCGAAGGCTGCTAAATAAATCATTGGTCAATTATCTATTTCAGGTGATAAGAACGCTCAAAGACCGATGACAAACGAAATGATAAGACAAAAGTCAAGTTTTGTATAGGATATGTATGTATGTATGTATGTATGTATGTATGTATGTATGTATGTATGTATGTATGTATGTATGTATGTATGTATGTACGTACGTACGTACGTATGTATGTATGTATGTATGTATGTATGTATGTATGTATGTATGTATGTATGTATGTATGTATGTATGTATGTATGTATGTATGTATGTATGCATGCATGCATGCATGCATGTATGTATATATGTATGCACATATCAGTATGTGTGTACGATGCATTTATGTGTCTGTGTTTGTGAGTACGCGTGAGTATGCATGTACATATGTATTTATAACATCCAACGGTACCTCATCACTATATCAATTATATGGTTCATATAAAGAGTTCAGTTGTACAGTTGTAACAATGAAGAATTGTACAAGTGTATATACATCTAATTAGATTATATGCGAAATTATGAAAGAATGAAGGAGAAAAGTGATAAAGTATTTGGGAATGGTAATTTAAATACCGTTTTTATAAAAAAAAAAAATAACACAGCAATCACATGTGTAGGTAGAGGTCATGGGTTTCAAAACTTGTAGAATATGACAAAGGATCATGTGTGTGCCTATGTACGTATGTTTGTACATCTGATTCTGTACTTTAATACAGTATGTTCAATGTTATTCCTTTATAGTCATCGTTAACTAGTTGAGATGAAAAATGTGCTTATGGGGTGGGTGGGTCAGTAGACAGTACTGAAGCTGAGATTAATAATGTATATTAAAGAAATTAGATACAAGTAGCTGGAGAAGCCTCCAGGAGACGAGCATATGATTCAGTAACAGACGTTAGCAGATATATTATTTTATCTGAATTACACTTTTATGAGTAAAATGGCAATGACGATACAGTCCAGAAATTCTAATTTGTTACGGGATACAAAAAATGCAAACAATAACATCCGACAAAAAATATAATCCCAACCAGTTTTTAATGTTCTCACAAGTTAGGGCTCAAGACGACTGCGAATTACATACACACAACATATTTGTAGTTGTACACCATGGCGATAGCTGATCAAATTTATAGAATGGAGACTTGGCCAGTGTTTATTAACATTATAAAGTCTTGCTTTTACAGTGATGACAAATACAGACATCAAGTCCCATGGGCCTGAATGCTTATCAATATCAGACTTTTGCACCATGGAGAACTCGTTTCTAACATTACCATATCTGACCGCTTAAAATTCTTTAAACTAACACTACCATCTTCACCCATACAGCTTGTCTCGATGGAAATCAATATTTACGCAATAAATTGGAGGAAAATGTGCAACGTTAATATGACGGCAATACCGCTTTTTATGGCTGTTAACACAATTCTAAAATGCCTCAACGATTTAAAAGTAATTTTCTCAAATAATGAAAGTAACCGTGAAGTAGACAAAACGATTGAACAGACAATCAAAAATCAATGTGTCTGTTCTAGAAAATACTTCATACAGTCATTTTAGATCAAGTAAACATCGGCAATTTCTTATTTGATTAAAGTATCAGAAAAATAACTGTACCAACACTATTTAATATTGAAATCGTTTAGAATAAATCCATTTCACATAGTATTAAAATGTATTAAATACTGGATTAAACAACTTCAATTGAAAGCTATATATAGCCACGGCTACAATATTATTTTATTTCAATAACTGACTGTATATTCTTTAAATACAAAGGTTTTTAATTTTGTCTGAGTCTATTTCTTTAATTTTTGTGATATATGCCGTACAATGTTGATATTTTGTGATGTTCCATTGTGAATTTGGTACAGATTTCTTTGTTCATCAAAAATAGTTTAGAACATATATCGAACCAAATGTCTAAATGGAGCTTTCGTACCGGCCAAACAAATCAATGTAATTTATCAGTCTTGTAAGGAAGACAACAACCATCATGGTTTTTTCCATTTTTCCCATTTATCTTTCTGTATTTATTTATTAGCATAATTTAAATACGGTACTTGTAATTCTTGGGGTGGGGGTGGGGTGGGGTGGGGTGGGGGATGGACCACATGACATGTCTTGACTAATTCACTTCCAAACTGACATCCAAGGGAACTAGATACAACTTACAATCAATATTGCGATATAGGCTGAGGAATACATGATCGTCAAACATGTAAAAGATACAGCCTCATAACTTATACACCTTAACGGATTGTAAAATATTAATTGTGATTTTTTTTTGTTTGAATAGATAATTAATAAAATATATTTTCCTTATAAACTGCCACTAACCACTACAACTATCTTTTATATCTTTATCACTCATAAAAAATTAAATCACCTGGCAAAGTATCTGATCTGTTTGTATCCTATGGATCTTATGACACTTTTGACACGGTAACAAAATCATGCCAATGAAATGAAACCGTTATGCGATTCCCAGTGACACATTTCGGCTGCCGAGCAGGGCTGGTATGGACGGGTAACGAACCTGCCATCCTTGGATTACAAGTTCAACTCTCTACCAATTGAGCCACCGCGGCTCCATATGAGTTAGGCGATGGGAAAATGTTTTGATTTTTTTATGTTAGACATACTTATGTGGGTAAAGTGACCACCTAGCCAGGTTGATGGTTAGAAATATTAGGATGCAATTAGTTACTCGTCTCGTGTACGAAAATTAAGCTAGCGTTTACAGGAACACAACGTCGGATGTTTATTTGAAATATTTATAATTTGGTGATCTCTATGGTCTCATTAAATAGGAGTGTGACTGCGGATATCTTTGCCACTTGTATTTTGCTTCATCTAATCACAGGTTGTAGAACAGATATTGGCTGATTGATGCTTTAAAGCATCTTTCAGGTTAAACTGACTTTTAAAAGTTGTTATTTGTTTGTTTGTGTGCAATTTCTAATTTCGAACGACTAGGAGAGGAAATTGAACCAATAGTATGGGATTAGTGCCGAGATTTTAAAAGGAAGCTTGCGAACCTTTGAGGTAAAAGTCCTTGAACCTGATATTTATAGTTCATTAAGTGAAATTCATTCTAAAGTCAACTTCAGTAACTAAATGTAAATGGCAATTGAATATGGTATACAAAGCCTATAACAGGGAAGTAGAACGGATCTAGAAAATACAATGACCTATAGCAAGGACATGGAAATTATCGGGTATAAAACAGATTATAGCAGGCGTTTAGAACAATCTCGCATGTAATGGCCTATAGCAGCGATTTGGAACGGATCTGGGATGAAATGGACTATAGCAGACATATAGAACAATCTGGCATACATTGTCCTATAGCAGGGATATGGAACGGATAGGGTTATTGTTATTCTTATGGGGTTTAACGCCATTTTTTGGGTACAAGATAGGCTATACATGGCGGCCAGAGTATCTTATAGAGGAATTAACGGATCCACCCCTCCAGAAGAACCACTAACACACGAGAAGGTACTGGCAAGCTTTTTTCACTTTCCCATACTGTCCGGGCCCGAGGCTCAAACCCACTTAGACAGAGGTGAGATGGCAGTGATCTGTAACGAGAACGCTTTAAGACACATGGTATTAATGGCATGGAAAAATGGGAACAAGCCTGGAAATGGGTGAGCATTTAATAGAGTATATATGGGTTGGGCTGACCAGGATTGTTTAATAATGAAAGTTATATTTTAGGAAAATAAATCTTTTAAGAGCTTATTCTAGTTGTAAGTCAAAAAATAGAGGCATTGTCTTATTGATGTAATTTCAGTCCTATAACAGTCTTGAGCTTGGAACACTCATTGCTAAAATTAGTACCTGACTCTTTGGTGCGGAATCGAAAGCACATGTTTCAAACACATGCAGGCCCAGAAAATGCCGCGGCTTATATTATTTACTCTACACAGAAGCGGATATCCAGGTTTCATCTATACTGATATTGGGCACTCAGAAATTTTCAGGCATTGAATTTTTAATATCATGGTGTTTGCATAGTTTGTTAGGTGTACTGAATTATTACCCTGATTCCTTTAGACAACTTGGCCAACGGATCTACAATGCAGAACCTCTAGCAGGGACGTGGAACGGATCTGGTATACAAAGACACATAGCAGGCACTTCGAACGATCTGGTATAAAAGATCGAGTAAGTGGGCTAGATTGCGGTCTGTATATGTACCTCAATATTGTAAATGTAACCGGAAAAAGCCAGATCAGGCTTATACTTGTCTGGCCTATATATCACGGGTCGTAGGTTTGTACTTGCCTAGCCTATAGCCGGATAAAGATAGACCAAGCGTCGTAGGTTTGTACTTTCCTAGCCTATAGGTCACGGGTCATAGGTTTGTACTTGCCCGGTCTATAGCTTTATAAAACCAGTTCACGTGTCGTAGGTTTTTACCTACCAGGCCTATAGCTGAATAAAGCCAGATCATTGGTTGCAAGGTTGTACTTGCCTGACCTATAAATCACGGGTAAAGCTAGATCGCTGGTCGTATATTTGTACTTGCCTGACCTATAAATCACGGGTCATAGGTTTGTACATGCCCGGCCTATAAAACCGGTTCACGTGTCGTAGGTTTTTACCTGCCTGGCCTGTAGCCGGATAAATCCAGATCATTGGTTGCAAGGTTGTACTTGCCTGACCTATAAATCACGGGTAAAGCTAGATCGCTGGTCGTATATTTGTACTTGCCTGGCCTATAAAGCACTGGTCATAGGTTTGTACTTGCCCGGCCTATAACTTTATAAACCATTTCACGTGTTGTAGGTTTTTACCTGCCTGGCCTATAGCCGGATAAAGCCAGATCATTGGTTGCAAGGTTGTACTTGCCTGACATATTGCCGGATAAAGCCAGATCACGGGTCGTAGGTTTGTACTTGCTCGGCCTATAGCAGGACAAAGCCAGATCACGGGTCTTAGGTTTGTACTTGCCTGGCCTAGAGATCACTTGTCATAGGTTTGTACTTGCCTTACCTGTAGCCGGATAGAGCCAAATCACGGTCTGGCCTATAGCCGGATAAAGCCAGATGACGAGTCGTATGTTTGTACTTTCCTAGCCTTTCGCCGGATAATGCCAGCTCACGGGTCGTATGATTGTACTTCCCTGGCCTATATCTGGATAATTCCAGCTCACGGGTCGTAGGTTTGTACTTTCTTAGACTATAGATTTCACTTGGCTTCGCAAAACAAGATGAGCCGCATAACTATCGCATTTTTAGAGTAGGATCAGAAATATAAATATGGTACTTTTCATAGCTGAAATTTCAGCAACAATTGAGAAATAACAATCTATTTTTGTAAAAGACAGAATGATGTCCATTTTTGAGTCAGACTTCGATGACAAACTGCCATGCTATCATTGGCTGCAATTTGTTTATTTTTATATATTTATTTTAATGTATGAAATATATTCATTTCTGTAATAGATTTGATAGCAAAACCTGTCCACTCTTATGAATCATTTTCATTACTTAGGTAGTGTCTTCATACTTTAATGACAATTCTTTGCGTTTTCTGTCAAGTAAAGGCGTTTAAAGACTTTTGAATCATTTTTCAGAATCCATATCACGCGAATATTAAATTATTTTTGAACGGGGTAGCGAGCTAACTACTGGATATTTAAACGTAAGGTAACTTTATTTTTACATATCTAATTACTCCGTTACATTTTACACCAATAATAATAATAATAATAATAATAATAATAATAATAATAATAATAATAATAATAATAATAATAATAATAATAATAATAATGTAATGGCAGGTAGCTTAACAGGCTTCACCCTGGTGATCAGAATCGTCACCACACCCATTCCTTCCCCAATGTGACCCCAATGTGACCACCGTCTTCCTTTACTGTAGCCTTCCCAAAGTAATCTTGCCGAAAATCACATTGTCTAGTAGAACAGGGCTGCTGCTCTATGATTTAATAAAAACAAATGAAAGGGCAAAGTACAAGCTCTAGTTTATATCTACTGTCCATTCTTCAGTTTGTTCGCATTCCATAATCACTTTGCTTCATAAGGATGTATTTAAACATTTATGCAGTCATTGGAAAAAATTGTGATAGTGGAATATTTGCCTAAAATATAAATTTGGCACTAACCACAACAATGCTTATAATATAATTTTTTATCGATCGATCGATCGATTGATCAAAGAGAGCAAATTTAATTCTACTGAAAATAAATTTGCACATTTACAGACATTCTCCCATCTATGGTCGTTTTATATTTCTAAAATTATTGGGAATTTTGCGAGAGATAGATTATCCACAAAATTTTAATAGAAGTTTTTAAATAGGACACTCATGAGACAATTCATCTTTGAAGCACTAGTTCAATAATGGTTCAGATTTGAAGATATGTTGATTTTTCGTTAGAAATAAAACCAGACGTTTTCAGCAGAATTCAAAACAGTTCTAACGCATTTTTATTCTTGACACTTGATAAATGAAATATTCATAATTCCAAATCAAGCAATATAGTTAAGAGTTTGAAATTATTCCAAACGTTAAGAGAATGCGACTTCTGCTTTAGCCTTATAGAAAATTCAGGCTAGTTCATCAGCATGAACGTTTGACGATGATCAAATAAAGTCTATCTCAGAGTTTTTCGCATGTTAATTGTATATTAACATTGCACATAGAGATTACTAGCTCGTTTTTATTGACATTCAGTAGCGTTTTGTTTTATTTACTGACAGTTTGTGACATTCAGCTAATGACATCAAGAAAAATTAGTTTCCTGCAACTGTTGTTACTGGTGAAATAGTCATTATGCTAATACAGAGCCTCTTCTACCCTCACACAACCAAAGACAAGCGAAATTTGACACATGTAAGGATAAAACACCCTTGCAAATTGGATGTGTTTAATCCACTCAAAGCAGGAATCATTCCAGCACAGAATTCAGAGATAAAAACATTGTAACCGAGATAACGTTAAACATCTTGAGCTTGAGATGAACAATATTAAAAAAAAAAGCCTTATTTTAGTAGATGTAATCATTACTGATAAAGGATTCAAACCAATACCTAATGACATGATGTATTGTTCGTCCTAGAAACATGAAATTAATAACTAGTTGGTTAATGTGAGTATGTGAATAGCTGATAAAGCCAATTGGTGCACTGAACTCTCTGTGGCAAACTTGACTGGAGATTCAGTTTGCGTTTGCTTGATCAATAGAGGAAGTTCAATAGATTTTCGCTTCTTGCGCTTCTGCAGTTCCTCTGCAAACCTTTTCTGTTCCAAGTCTGCAACTCCATCTTGGACGAGGCTCAGCAGGATAGAGCGATCTTGTGTGCGAACCTCAGATGAATCAGGGTGAATCTTGAAGTGTTTCGCGGATTTTAAGAGAATCTTTAAAGTGTAATTTTCTGACTCTTTCTCTCCTTTAGTACATTGAAGAAGATCATTCTCTGACGTCTTGGTGACGTGGCCCACACTCATTTTTGGCAGTCACTTCTCTGACGTCTTGGTGACGTGGCCCACACTCATGTTTGGCAGTCGCTTCTCTGACATCTTGGTGACGTGGCCCACACTCATTTTTGG